TGACAGTCCATTCAGGAATGATTAGAAACAGATATTCTCTTTATGTCGGTGGGACCAACTCAGGCTGCATTTAGTCCACCACTGGGGCAGTCTGATAAGACTAAAGTTATAGTTTTCTCTTGAGATGAACCAGTTCTGTGTTTATGGGCGAGGAGGGTTTTTCCCACTCTTGCAAGGACAATTACAGAAAATAAATATAAACAGTTTTTCTAACTTCAAAATCAGATGTTTTCATTCAGAAACAAGTGTATGTTGAAAACAATATTCTTGCCCATAATTTGATAGAGGGCACAGAACCGGCCCCCTCCTCACCATGGACCCGGTGTCTGAACAACATGGAGGCAGAGAAACTGAGAGTCCTCATTATTAGACCGAAGGCAGCCACACCCAGACTACTTTATTTTGCAGAATTATTATAGTTAGCTAAATATTATTGTTGAGGGGCACAAGCAGGCTTCCTGACACACAGATACAAAAACTCAAAAAAGTTAACGGCCAGACCTCCTGTTTAAAAAGAAACCGAAGTATGTCACCTAATGCAGTGTTTCCCAACCCTGGTCCTCAAGGTTCACTGTCCTGAATGTTTTAGGTGTTTCCTTGCTTCAGCACAGGTGATTTCAATTAGGAGGTGTTTGCTGAACTGCAATCAGCTGAAGAGGTGCATTAAAGCAGGGACATTTCTAAAACATGCAGGGCAGTGTGCCTTGATGACCAGGGTTGGGAAACACTGTGTCATGATGGGTTTAAGTGACTTTACCCACTTGCAAGAACACCACCAAGAGAAGACGTAAATAATAAAGATTTATTGCAAACACAAAACAAATCAGATGAGTCTCTGGTCCAAGGAACAGACTGCTGCGGGCAGCACACTGAAGAGAACAGGGAAGAGGGTGAGTTCAAGTCAGTGGGATTTCTGAATGATTTGCTGGAGTTCGGGTAAGCACTTACAGGAACGGTGATGAGTAATGGCGTTGGCGGGGTATTGTTGGTCCGAGGGTCCTTTGGTCTCTGGGGTTTACTTTCTGAGTGGTCTTGAGAGTGGATAGATTTGAGGAGGAGGTGAACTGAGTTGGATAGGCGTCGGAGGGCGGACAGGTAGGCAAGT